GTTTATATATGATATGATTGATGTAGTATATATGATATATTTGATATATGATGTAATGTGGTTTATATGATATTATCTATATAATATGGTATATTATGTGATGTGGTCTATATATTATATATATATGATGTGATGTGGCATATATGATATATAAGAGGAGGCCATGGTCAAATGCTGTCAAGTACAATTCACAGCAATCTTATGAACAACAGATCTGAACCCTTTATTATACCATCCTCATCATCTCTGACGGAGGTAAACCCATTACTACAGTCTCTATGACCTCCATTTTCCAAGCAGGATGTCCCTTTCCAGGGAACAGAATTACCCCTCCTAACAAACCCAAAGGACGTCATCAGCTCTGCCTCCAGGGAGCACTCTGGCTGCATCTTCTCCAAGCCATACTGCTTGTTCTCTTGGCCGTCCATGGGGTGTTCAGCACTCTTCTCTAACACCACCAAAGGCATCAGATTTCCTTCTGTCATCCTTATTCTGTCCAGCTGTCAAATGCATACCTAATGACACAAAAGCCCATGGCCTGGATCAGGAATACCTCCGTCTTTAAACTGACACCACTGTTCCTCAGTAATGTGGAGACATTGCTGACAGCTGGCTTGCCGTGTATATCTCCTCATATACAGACTGTTGGTACCAAGAACGATGTCTGTGGATTCAAGTAAAAGAAAATCACTGACAACCTCAATCTTTTTCCATCAATCATGATGTTCCTTATTGATCCAGTGCTAAGAAATTTTGTCTTCTTCATGTTGAGATTTATTCCCTTTTGAAGGTTGTAATACTTGTTCTTCTAAAGGCAAAATCTTGAATGATCCAGAAAGCATCAAAAGAAGACGGAGTAATTGTACCAAAAAGACTTGCTTGACATTGAAATATTTCAAAAAGCTGGACTCAGTCAAGAGCTGAAGGTGATGAGGGAAGTTGTTCAAGCTGCTCTAAACAGTGGCAAAATATCAGGTCACAGGAATCGACAGGATACCAATTGATATGTTTCAACTAACAGATGCAGCTCGGGATGGGCTCGCCAGTGTAGGCCAACAAATTTGAACGAACTGACTGGAAGAGATCAGTAACTGTTCTCATTCCCAAGATGACTCAACAGAATGTGGGAATTAACAATATCACTAATAGCACATCCAAGCAAAACACTGCTGAAAGTTATCCAGAAATGACTAGAAGAGTATCTGTCCACTGCGTTTTGCCATCGTGGACTGTGGCAGGAGACCACCATTAAGGGGACACGTTGACCCACGGTTGTGTGTGCCACAATCCAGGGGACATATCAACCCACGGCTGTGTGTGTGTCACCATCCAGGGGACATGGACTACCAGCGGTTGTATATGTGTCACCATCCAGGGGACATAGATGACCCATGGTTGCGTGTGTCACAAAACAAGCACCATCACGCACACACGTCCTCCTTACCCACCTCCCACCCACAGACACCTTGTCCTCATCCCACCAGAAACAAGAGAAGAAGCAGCAGGGGAGCACCTTTCCCACCTGGGGGCTACAGGAGGTGAGACACATGTGCAGAGGTCCCAACATCAAAGGCAAGGGCGCAGCTGAGCTCCCAGAAAGCAGAGGAGCTGCAGGGACCTCCCGGCTGCCCCTTCCCACCTTCACCCAACAGCCAGCACCTCCCTCAGCTCCCAAGCTTCGTTCCCACACCCAGATGCAGGAACTGCAGGTGGAAACGTGCTGGTCCCTGGTCATCCTTGCTCTAGACCAACAGAATGAAACGGCCACAAGGGCAGGATTGACAACACTATGGAGGCCAGATACTCGGGCTACAGTCTCTTTTATAAGGAGAAGCCTTCGAGCCAATACTCAGAGAGCTGTATTACAAGTGGCCTGCACGTCTACATCGATGCCAGCACGCCTCAGATACACATCAGAAAGCACGTCCCACCACATTCCACATCCAGGACAGGACTTAGGGTTTTGGGGAATCAGCTCCTGTCATCCTGAGACTGGGCCCTGGGGACCCAGTGCCACTCTGGCCATGAGGATGAGTCCGATTTCTCAAGCTGAGGGCCTCCTCCAAAATGGACACTGTAGGGGCTAGTGTCAGCTCTGATGGTCAAGAAGAAGGGGACAGTGGGAACAAGGGGGGACCACACCCAGGATGTGGAGACAGTGCAGAGCATACCCACACGCAACAAGCGTGCCGTGGGGGTCTGCAGGGAGGGGTTGACCCCACTCATCAGAACATACCCACAACATACCCACACACAACAGGCGTGCCGTGGGGTCTGCAGGGAGCAGGAGGCTGACCTCACTCACAGAACATACCCACAACATACCCACACGCAACAAGTGTGCCCTGGGGTCTGCAGGGAGGGGTTGACCCCACTCATCAGAACATACCCACACGCAACAAGTGTGCCCTGGGGTCTGCAGGGAGGGGTTGACCCCACTCATCAGAACATACCCACACGCAACAGGCGTGCCGTGGGTTTCCAGGGAGCAGGAGGCTGACCTCACTCATTACCATGGTTACAGAGGCAGCCCCTTGTGGGGGGAGGGGGCTCACAGCAGGAGGGCTTCAAGAGACCAGAGCTGCCAGAAGCCAGCAGAGAAAACCCAAACCCACGGCCTCTGCACTGGGTCCAACTCAGTGACCCCCCAGTCAGGGCCCATTCTCATTTCAGGAAGTATGAACGTCAGGTGAAAGTGGTCAGCTCGTCACAGAGACACGCAAGCTGACAGCCGTAAGTGTCCGTGGATTTCTCGTGGCTTCACTTGTTTGGGGTGAGTCGCAGCTTTCGCATGTATAAAAACAGCAAGCCGGTTTTGAGAGTTCGAGGCAGATCCCACTGCACTGCCTGTGACTTTGGAGGGGACCACGGCTGCTCTGCCTACGTGGGCTGACATGAATGCTGCCCCTCAGATCTCTTCATACGTGCTGCTCCCACAGGCCGGAGCTGGCGGGGAGAAGGACCCGGTGATGTGTGTTCTTCCTGGGCTCTGAGTCAGCATCCGAGTTACTACAGCGACAGGAAGCAGCTTGGTGTGCTGATGGGAGATGAGGCCCCCAGATTCCAGGGGTTCCTTTCCTCCAGGCCCTGAACAGGCTGAGTGGTGCCCGAGACGGGCCGTCTCCACGTGCCGTCATGACTGCAGCCACAACTCTCGGCCCGCATGACATCACCGTTACTGCTGCTGTACCATCGCATCGGGGCCAACCCAGAGCTGACCCTCAGCCCGGTTTTCAGGGTTAATCATGTGGGAGGAGGTTGCCCATCCTTCTGCCACGAGCAACTGGTGGATTCGAACTGTGTGCCTTCAGGATTGCAGTGCAGCTTCTGGCCACTGGACCAGCAGAGCTCTCTAACGATGACTGTCATCACTGTTCTTGTTGTAAGCCATTGGGTCAGAACCGATCCCCAGCAGGTCTTCAGACGCAGTGAATCACACAGGAGAGACTGCCCAACCTTCTCCCATGGAGCAGCTGGGGGACTGGAACTTCCTTTGGGATTACAGAGCAGCTTCCGGGCCATCAGAACTCCCTCAGGTCTGAGTCTCGATTAAGGCACGGATACTCCCAAAACACAATACATAATGAAAAAAAGTTTTCTTAAATGCCCAAACTACCCCTGAATAAAGAAAACATTACACAATTCCAGTGATATCATTAGTATCCTTAAGTATAAAAAAATCAACTCTAGTCAACAGTGTGAAGAAGAAACACAGCTTTTGATGTCAACTAAGTAGCTGTAATGACACAAAAAGACCAAAATCCGACGAGCTCTGGCTGCCTAGTGGCAAAAAGGTGTACTACAATCCCAGAGGTGCATGGTTCAAATCCACCAGATGTTCTGCTGGAGGAGGAACAATCTCCTCCTGTACCAGTCAGATCTGATTTGACAGTACACACACAGACACACAGACACACACACACAGACACACACACACAGACACACACACACACACACAAAATAAAATTTTTAAAAAAAGACCAAAATCCTCAGCCCCAGACCTACAAGCAAGGCTACGACAGATAAAAGACTGAACGTGTCAATGATCTTAGATTTCCTGGATCCACAATCAACACCCATGGTCCCAGCAATCAGAGGACCAGGAGACAGATTGCACTGGGCAAGTCTGCAGTCAGGGACCTCTCCAAACTATTGAGGGGCAGTGACGCCAGTCTGAGGACTAAGGTCACCTCATCCGGCCCCTTGCTATGCATCTGATAGCTGGACGTGGATGCAGACAACAGAAGGAACTGGAGTGCTGGAGAGGAGTACTGAATAACCCACGAACGGCCAAGAGCCATCAGGTGTGTGCTGGGGAAGGCACAGTCGGAGAGCTCCCTGGAGAGGGGTGACGAAGCTCCACCACACATTCTGTGGGCCAGCTGCTAGGAGAGGCTGTCCCTTACAGAGGGACACTGGGCCGGAAAGGCAGAGAGTCAGAGAAAGAGAGAAGGGCCCTCAACAAGATGATCTGACACGGTGTCTGCAGCAACAGGCTCGAGGGTCAGAGACGACGAGGCTGACTCAGGGCAGGGCAGGGCTCAGCCTGTCACTCGCAGGGTCGCTGTGAGTCCTCCTCTACTTGACGGCACCTAACAGCGGTTCACTGCTTGAAGAATGTGGCCACTAACTCAAAGGCCAGCAGTCCCAACCAATGAGCTGCTTGTACAGAGAGGGCGCTGGTCAGTCACCTGTAACCACCGACAGCCTCGGGCACTGTGCAGTTCTGCCCGGTCCTACAGAGCCTCCGTGGGTCAGAACCGACGCGGCCGCCTGGACAGGTAGGGACCCAACTTGTCCTCCTAGCCTTATGCCCTGGTATCTCCAGTCTAAGAGGTGTGGGGTGTTCTAGAGCCCTCAAACGGCAGACTTGGATTCAGTGTGGTCACCCGTGGACCTGTGCCTCCAAAACAGGTGTTTATGTGCATATCCTCCTCCCTGTACCTGTGACGGCGCCCTGCCTGCAAACAGGATTTCTTCATTCTCCTTCGAGGATTCTGAGTGGTAGGAGGGTGGGTTCTAGATGCAACCACCTCAGAGGTCTAAGAACACTTCACACACACCTGCATACATACACCTGCACAGACACACATGCACACGCACACACACCTGCATATATACACCTGCATACATACACCTGTATACATACACCTGCATACACACACCCGCACACACACACCTGCACAGACATACATGCACGCACACCCCTACACACACACATGCAAGTGCACACACACCTGCAAACACACACCTGAATGCACACAAATGCACGCACACACCTGCATACACACACGTGCACACACACCTCCAAACACACAAATGCATACACACACCTGCAGACACACATGCATGCACACCCCTGCACACACACATACCTATACACACACCCCTGCACACACACACCTGCAAACACACAAATGCATGCATACACACCTGCATATACACACATGCACACCCCTGCATACACACACATGCACACACACCTGCATACACATGCACACAAACACCTGCATAAACACACCTGAACACATACTTGCACACACCCCTACACACACCTGCATGCACACATGCCTGCACACACACACATGCGCGTGCACACACATGAACACAGACCTGGAGACAGCCCCTGCAGTTGCAGGCTTCGTTTGAACTGCCAGCTGGGAGAGCACTGTCCAGGGCAGGCCCAGCCAGGACCCCTGACCTCATGTTGCCATGACCACGCTCCTCCGCTCACACTTCTCCGCTTCTCCGCTGTCCCCAGGGAGCCGGGTGTGAAAAGCCCTCCGGCTGGGCTCTCTTCAGACCCTGTCAGGTGGCTCCTTGGCAGCCTGGACCAGCTGGATAACGAGCCTGTCTGTCGGTCTGTCAGCAGCTGGACACCCCTCTGTGCAGGCAGCACTTGGCTGGCTGAGGGCTAACTGGGGATTTTACAAATCTCCCTCATGCTCTGGGCCAACTGTTGTCATTGGTGAGGCAGGGCCCAGCTCATAACCCACACACAACAGAAAGGGACACCTCCTGAACGCCCCCAGGCCCGTGTGGACAGCCCCGCCTCAGTACACCTCGGTGAAGGTCCTCCTTACGTCTGCTGGCCCTCTGCGCTCCCCAGCGCGATGCCCATCTCCTGGGACAGGACTCTCCTGACGACAAGCCCAGGGAGGTGAGACGCAGTGTCTCCATCTCACACCTAAGGAGCCATTCCTGCCTGACGCAGCTGTCTCGTCACTGGGCAGCCCTTGGACGCTCAGTGCTCACAGCCAGCACTGCAACCCAAAGGCCTCTGGTCTCCGTCCTCCTCAGCCATGCTGCTCTCACGTGCATGGGAAGCAGGTAGAACGCCAGGGTCTGGTCAGACCACGTAGCCCTGCTTCTCGTCGGCCCTGCCCTCCTCTCCTGGACTCAGGTCTAGGCTCCTCCCTCTCAGATGAGCTTCGGTGAGAATCCCACTGCTCCCCTGCTCCCCGCCTGGTTTAAAGGGCAGGGAAGACCACACGGAGTCCCACAGAAGGGGGCCGGTCCCGTTAAACAGAGCATCGTGGGGCTTCTGCAGCCCAGAGCAGCACGTCATTGGCCTCCACCCGCACTCCACAGCACCCGAGAGGCCACGCCAAGCTCAGAAAGGCAAGCTCACTGGGGCGTCTGCCACGAAATCCGCACTCTGGGGCCAGCTCAGAACACACGTCAGAGAGCTGGTTGGCCGAGCCATGAGGCCACGGAGGAGGGCAGGCTCGGGAGCACCCCAGCCGGGGTCCCTACACACAGGGGGACGCAAGGAGGGTCAGCAGGACCAGCTGGCCACTGACCATGCCACATCCCCAGTCATGCCCACACTCTGAGGTCTCAGTGCCCGACCTGCCTACAGGAGTCACGTGCACAGGGAACTCTCGCCCGAGGCTCAGAGGGTCCCAGCACTTGGGAAGGTGGGGCGCAAACGGGACAGACGGAAACCACTCCCAGATGGCCAATGGAGCGGGAGCTCGGGGCTGAGGACCACGAGAACCTTCCCCGGAGATAGCGAGCCTCCCGGAGCCTGCCCGGACCCTGTCCTGGTGTTGAAGTGGGTTAAGCGATGTGGTTAATTCAGCAATGTGGTGTGTGGGTCCACCAACTGCTTCTCAGGACCAAGACGGCGGCATCTCCACCTGTTAAAATTCACAAACTAAAAAAAAAGATTCACAACCTCACAAACACAACGGGGGTCACTGTGAGTCAGAGTTCACCAGAAGACTCAGGTGAGGGAAGTCAAACAGACTACAAGAAAACCATTTTCTGTTTCCCCCCTGTGGTCCTTCTATCCCGGCAGCACTTGGGAGACTAAAGCTCAGCACAGTGTGGAGTCCACACAGGCCCTGGCTGGGGGGACGACTGATGGACCCGCTGCCAACCGAACGCTGGAGACAAGTCCACCTCCAGACACCCCAGAAGAAAGACGGGCTACCCGCTCCTGAAGACTCCATGGAACACAGCTGTGCTCTGACCAGGTGTCCATCCCGTGAAGTGGCCATGTCCATGACATGCCTCAGTGTCCACGGTCAGGCGGATGCCTATCTCATGCTCTAACTGCCCAGCACATTGTTCAAATAGTCCCTCTGCCCAGTGACGACTGTCGCCAGGTCCAGTGCACATATATAATTAGAGCTAATTTAAGTCTTTCTCTTTTTCTTACAAGGTAGGGACAATGATTTAGTGGTAAATGTGACTTGATCTATACAGCTAATAGGGAACATTTACCATCTAATAACAGTCAACAACTCTGGTCATTATTTAGACAAAATGGAGTTAACTCTCCCAAACAGAGAAGACAAAGCACAGATGCAGACCAAGCCCCTCGAGGAGTGGACGCTGCCGGGCACAGGGAGAGGCCCCCATGGAGTGGACGCTGCCGGGCACAGGGAGAGGCCCCCACGAAATGGACGCTGCTGGGTACAGTTACAGGACCCTCAAGGAGTGGACGCTGCTGGGTGCAGTGAGATGCCCCTCAACAAGTGGACACCGCTGGGTGCAGTGAGAGGCCCCTCAATGAGTGGACACTGCCGGGCGCAGTGAGAGGCCCCTTGAGGTGTGGACACTGCTGGGTGCAGTGAGAGGACCGTAGAGCTGTGGATGCCTCCTCCAACTACAGCCGCTGACCTCCCATGTCCCTCAGGAAGGGTAGCTGCAGCTCAAGTGGCTATGTGAGTCTCACTCAGGAATCCCCAAAAGGTGGGTCACGGCTCTGTGAAGGAAGACACTCCAACAGAGCTGAGTCTTAACTGGGACGTGATCACCCGTTAGTAGGGAAAGCTTCTCCCCCAGGCCCAGAAGTCAGCACCGGGGTGCATAGCCCAGGGTGGGTGCCTGTGAGGTCCCCTGGTCACAGGCTTACACAGGGACAAGCGGAAGGGCCGTGGTGAGGGGCCAGCCCCGGCCCTCCACGCTGAGTCACCAGTCACCCACCTGAGGGTGCTCATGGAGAAGCCCCGTTGTCAACAGCTGGTCTGGAGGAGGCTCTGGGGACTGTGAGGAGGCGACAAAAGCTGTGTGTGTTAACCAGGTGTTTGGAGGCTGGCTCCCTGTGCTGGGCCAGGGCAGCGGGGTCTGTGGCTGCTGGTGGGGGTGCAGACTCACCCCCAGTGGACGGACAGCAGTCCTGGGCTGTCCTCGGTCTGGGTGTGCTGGGCCAGGGCAGTGGTCACTGTGACAGTCCCACGGAGGACTTCCCTTCACCCATGTCACTGACCCTCTGCTTCCCTAGCCCCCATGTTCCTTCCTCAACCAGGACACACAGGTGGTGGTCACCATGTTCCCAGAAGCTTCCGGAACCCATTTTGTTATACGCTGACCTAATGTCCACGCCTGTGATCAGGGAGCTCAGGTGGCCAAATGGATAAGGAGTTGTGCTATCAACCCCAAGGTTGTTGTTGTTGTTGTTGTTATGAGCCGTCGAGTCGCTTGCAACTCATAGCGACCCTATGTACAACAGCCCTAAACCCTGCTCTATCCTGTGCCAATCGCACTGTCTCTGACACTCCCATCCCGATTATCCCAGTCACTGAAGCAATCCACCTCATAGAGGGTCTTCCCCTCCTACACTGTCCCTCCACCCTCCCAAGCATGATGTCCTTCTCCAAGGACCTGTCTCTCCTCACATGTCCAAAGTATGTTAGACGGAGCCTCAGAATCCTTGCCTCCAAGGAGCCACCCGGTTTAACCCTTTCTAGGATGAATTTGTTTGTTTTCCTAGCAGTCCATGGTATTCTCAATACTCTTCTCCAGCACCACAGCTCAAAGACATCAATTCTCTTTCTCTCCTCCTTGGTCATTGCCCAACTCTCTGATGCATAACAAGTGATTGCGAAGACCATGGCCTGTATCAGATACACCTTAGTCTCCAGAGAGACACCATTGCTCTTCAGTACTTTGGAGAGGTCCCTAACAGCAGACTTTCCCATTGCAATGCGCCTTTTAATTTCCTGGCTGCTGGTGCCAAGACTGTTGACTGTGGACAAAGATTCTCACCACTGGACCAACTGATAGCATCAGGATGGATGGTGAAGAGATTGAGAATGTACACAGCTTTAGTTCGCTTAGCTCCACAGTCAACAACCCCAAGGTAAGCAGTTCAAATTCATCAGCTTGTCCATGAGAGGAAGATGGGCGATCTCACCCGTGGGACTCACGGCCTCCGGACACTCGCTGGAGGTCAGGACCCCGTCAGTTCTGAACCTGACGAACGGTCACAGTGACTGCAAGAAAGGACTTGAGCCTGACAGAGACAGGGCAGTGCGGACAGGGCCCGGCTCAGATCTGCTCACGGGTCAGAGGGAAGACACCGAGCCCAGAGCCCAGCATGCACAAAGCTGGAGGGAGGAGGGCCGACTCCGGATCCCTGCACGCTGAGGGCCCGAGGGCCGAGGACAGGGCCTGCATCCTGCAGACAGACGTCCACAGAGCACACGGCTGGGCCTGAGCTCTGCATGCAGAGGGCTGGAGGGCAGGATTCTGAGCCTGGATTCCTGCAGACAGATGTCCAGAGGGGCAGAGGGATGAGAACAGCATCCGGAGCCTAGACCCCTGCACCCAGAGGTGAGAGTGCTGGGCTTGCATCCTGCAGACAGATGTCCAGAGCGGCAGAGGGCCGGACCTGAAGTCTGCATGCTGAAGGCTGGAGGACGGCATTCATAGCCTGGACTCCTGCACTCTGAGGGTCAGGGGGCCGAACGTGGAACCCCAGCTCCTGCCCCTTGTTGGTGGGAAGGCAGCTCTCTGCACGCCCACAGACAGACAGCAGCAGCATGGTGAGCTGAGCCCGATCCCGCACACAGAGGACCAGAAGCCGTGCTGAGCCCCGGAACCCGCACCCAGCGGCGCCTCTTAGAGCCATGTCTCCCAGTGTGGAAAGCATGACTGGACAACTGTACCCTCAGCCACGTCCAGGAACCACTCTCTAAAATGGATTAGTTCCCCAGGGAGCCAGGTGAGGTTGGCAGCGGCCTGGCACGGTGTGCCCTGTTCTCAGTCTATCCTCTGTGAACACAGCCAATGTCCCCTTCTTCCCTGTGACCTGTTTCAGACTGTCCAGGAGCCCCCTGCCCACTGACTCACCAGCAGGCCAGCTCCTCCGGACTCTGGGGTGCACACCTCCAACCCCTCCCTTTCCAGGAAACTACTGAACCCAAATGATGAGCAGTAAATTCCATCTGAACAGACAGCACCTCGCAGGCTCCACGGGCCTGGACCTTGGCCACCTTCCACCCCGGCCTCTGCCGAGAGGAGGGACACATGCAGGGGACCTGGACCATGCCCACCTTTCACCCCGGCCTCTGCCGAGAGGAGGGACACATGCAGGGGACCTGGACCTTGGCCACCTTCCACCCCGGCCTCTGCCGAGAGGAGGGACACATGCA